AGCCACCGGAGGGGTTGGAGCAGCGGGAGAAGCTCCCACAGTGGGGGGAAGGCGGGGTGCGCCATGGGTGGGAATGGTTCTCCTTCAAAACCATTGAAGAAGACTTCAAACCACCTCCCATCCCACCCCAGGGCTGCCCATGGCAGCTCCGTGCCTCAGTTTCCCCAGAGCCTGGCCTGGGATGGGGTCGGTGGCCGATGCCAGCGGCGCCGGTGGCGGCAGAGCCCGGCGGGTCCCGCTCGGTTCCATCCTGGCGCAGGATTTCTCCCGGCTGGCAGAACCCGTTTCCATAACGACTTTCTGTTACAAACATATTTTGATAAAAATAAAGTTAAAGCGGCGAGGCTTTAGTGGAGTACAAATTTGCTGCTCTCGCCCTCCCCCTTCCTCCTCCCCGAGGAGGGGGAATAAAGACGGAAAGCTTTCCATTTGAAGGGCAGTATTTTCTCCCTTCTTTTGCTTTCCCCACTGAATACAAAATGGAAAACCTTGTTTACCGGAGATTCGCTGTAAACCGGTTCCGACTCTGCCTGGTTACCTGATGCTCTACAGTATGTACAGGATAATGTGATAAATTCATTTCCAATTCACTGCATTATCCTTTGAATATTTTAATGACTCATTGAATGGAGTAAAAAAAAAAAAAAAAGAGAGAGAAAAAAAAGCTATTTCAAATGAACAATTATGCTGCATTAGAGTAAAGGCTGATTATATTTAAACACTGCTTCCATGGATAACGGGACATATCGACCTCCGCCTATAAGAGCTAATTTGGCTCTTATCTCTAAATAATTTTACACTGCAAATTACCATGAAAACCTAAAGGGCTTTAAAAACATTCATCAAAAGATATTATTCCACTTTGTAGCAACATTTTTATTTAAATTATTTGGAATAGGAGTGAAAGCATCTCTCTGTTTGACAATCGGAGCGGCGACGGAGCAGCGGCTGATAAGGAGCGGCGAGCGGCGCCGAGGGGATGGGATGGTTCCATCCCAAAATCCCAACTGGGAGAGCAAATCCCGAGCCAAACCCCAAAGCTGGTGGCGTGCCAAAGTGCTGCAGCGCCCGGGAGTGGCATTTGGCACTGCCAGAGCTGCTTCCCTCCAAACTGGGGATGGCAAAGCCTCAGTGATGCTGGAGGGACGCCAGAGCGACACACAAGTGATGCTGGGGTGACACCCAAGGGATGCTGGGGTGACACCCAAGGGATGCAGGGGTGACACCCAAGGGATGCTGGAGTGACACCCAAGGGATGCTGGGTTGGTACCCAAGGGATGTTGGGTGATGCTGTGGTGACACTGGGGTGGTACCCAAGCGCTGCTGGGTGATACTGGGGTGACACTGGGGTGGCACTGGGTGATACTGGGGTGGCACTGGGTGATACTGGTGTGGTACCAAGCTCTGCTGGGTGATACTGGGGTGACACTGGTGATACTGGGGCAATGTTGGGTGACACTGGGTGGTACAAGGGTGATGCTGGCTCAGTGCTGGGGTGACACTGGGGTGACACTGGGTGGTACCAAGTACTGCTGGGCTATACTGGGGTGACACTGCGTGACACTGGGTGCTATCAAGCACTGCTGGGTGACACTGGGGTGACACTGGGTGGTACTGGGGCAAAGCTGGCTCAGTGCTGGGGTGACACTGGGCGACACTGGGGTGACACTGGGCGATACTGGGGTGACATTGTGTGGTACCGAGGTGATGTTGGGTGACACTGGGGTGGCACCAAACACTGCTGGGTGATACTGGTGAGACACTGGGTGGTACTGGGGTGATGTTGGGTGACACTGAGTGGTACCAAGCACTTCTGGGTGACACTGGGTGGTATGGGGGTGATGCTGGCTCAGTGCTGAGGTGACACTGGGAGACACTGGGGTGACACTGGGTGATACTGGGGTGACACTGGGTGGTACTGGGGTGATGTTGGGTGACACTGGGGTGGTATCAAGCGCTGCTGGGCGACACTGGGGTGACACTGGGTGACACTGGGCGACACTGGGGTGACACTGGGGGGTACGGGGGTGATGTTGGGTGACACTGGGTGGTACCAAGCACTCCTGGGTGACACTGGGGTCGTACCAAACACTGCTGGGTGACACTGGGGTGGTACCAAGCAGTCCTGGGTGACACTGGGTGGTACGGGGGTGATGCTGGCTCAGTGCTGGGGTGACACTGGGCGGCACTGGGGTGACACTGGGTGGTACCGGGGTGATGTTTGGTGACACTGGGTGGTACCAAGCACTGCTGGGCGATACTGGGGTGACACTGGGTGGTACCAGGGTGATGCTGGCTCAGTGCTGGGGTGACACTGGGCGGCACTGGGGTGATGCTGGCTCAGTGCTGGGGTGACACTGGGCGGCACTGGGGTGACACTGGGTGATACTGGGGTGACACTGGGCAGTACCGGGGTGATGCTGGCTCAGTGCTGGGGTGACACTGGGTGACACTGGGGTGACACCAGGGCACCAGCGGGCACAGGAGCTCCGCCAGCCCCCCGGCACGGCACCGGCCGCCCCATCCCTCCCGGAGAAAGGCACTTGCGAGCCCCTCTCTGCACCAAAGCAGCAGAAGGTGTCATGGAAAGCCTACACGGTTATTTTAGAGGCAGTGTGCAAATAAGGCTGTCAGCTGAAGCTCCTCGGAGCCAAGACTTCCATATCCCCCCGAGGATCTGCATCCCCCAGACGCCATGTGGCTGAGCCCGCCAGCTCTGCACCCACATTTGGGGCTGGGGGATCGGGGAAAATCCCCCCAAACACACCAGGACCCCCCCACTGCACCCCCCAGCCACGGGGACCCCGCTGAGGGGGTTTGCTCCCCGTGCCCTCATGGGGTGAGGATGATTTTTTGGTGGTTTCTCGTGGATTTTGGGGGATTTATACGCGTTTCTGTGTGTGTAGAGGAGAGATACACATACACACACCCACGGGAGATAGAGGGGATATATTTATCCCATCATTATAGGGATCGTATCAATATATAGGTTTTATATAGAATATTGCACAGAATCAGTGAATATCTCACGTTGGAAGGGACCATCAAGAGCACCGAGGCCAAATCCCTGCTTGGGTATGTGTGTTTATATTTATAAATGTATTTATCTCGTGATAAGAAAGCTTAAGGAATTGTTAGGGCTGGGATCCACCCCATCCCTGGCAAGTAGGGAAAAACCTTTTCCTTCCCAAAAATCTCCTTTTTTCTCACCCTCTTTCATGGCCTAACACAGAATTATTGACCTTAGAGATCACAAATGGCATCACTCAAACATCAGGGGAAAAAAATCCCACCTTCCATTTGTGCTGGAGGTTTGAATCCCGCATTTCCCTTCTTTGCTTAAAGGATTTTACACTCCAAAAATAAAAATAAAAAAAAAAAAAAAAAGGAAAACCACAATAATTAGCAAGAGGGAACGGCTCCGAAGGATCTGTGTACAGAAGGAAACACAGGAGCTTGGGCTCCTTTGCGTTTGGTAAATATTAAAATTAATGAGAGACTTTCAGGACCCTGTTGTTAGAAATGCAGAAGGGTTTCTGTGAAGGATAAAAACACAAAAACAACACGAAAAAAAATCCCAAGCCCTGTATACAAATTCCTGCAATTATTCCCGATGCTTCCTATTTTCCAGCCAATTATGGAATTCATGGAAAGTATTAATATCCTGTTTTAATTTGCTTAATATGCCCATTAACAATAAAAAGTCTAATTAAGGTATCTGTAGAAAGAGCCCTCAGCAGTAATTTCAGAGAATAATAGAGGAGAACGACGCGATATTTCTTGTTAAATGCACACTGCAAATTAATTGATATCTTAATTAGGCTTTAGTACCCAGATTATCAGTTAGATTGATTTAGGGCTGCAACATCTAATTTTTTGAACACATAAAAACAAGCAGGAGGGGAAAAAAAACTGCTTTTCCAAAATATTTCTGGGAGCAAAGCTTCGACACACCGGGACAGGGGAAGGACTCATCCCATGGACGCAGTGCTGGGAAGTGCCATAATTCATCCCAAACTCATTTCCCCCCTTGTTTTCTCACTGAATTCAAACCATTTTTAATAAAAATAAAAACCCTAAAAACGAGAAATTTAATCGAGATTTCCACCAAACCCACTCTTTTTAAGCTCAAAACCCAACCAGCAGCAGGAGCTGTTTGGAAGGACGCGTTGTCTCCGCAGAGAAAACCGGTGGTGGGGAATTGGCAAAGTGGTTTTTTGGGTTTTTTTTCCCAGCATTTCCTTAGGAGAAGGAGGAAAAAAAAAAAACCAACAAAAAAACCCAAAAATCCAAGCAGCAATATTTTTGGACCAGCCTGGCTCTTTATAGCCTGAGGAAGCACTTCCCTACCTACACGCCCAGCAGCATTTACATTTCTCTGGCAAACACTCGTCCTCCCCTCCGGGGTTTCACCAGGAGGAGTTTGCATCCCATGGGAATATGGATATGTCATGGAACCACCAGGATATGTCACGGAACCACCAGGACATGTCATGGAACCACCAGGATGTCATGGAACCACCAGGATATTTCATGGATCCACCAGGATGTCATGGACCCACCAGGATATGTCACGGAACCACCAGGATGTCACGGACCCACCAGGATATGTCACGGAACCACCAGGATGTCACGGAACCACCAGGATGTGTCATGGACCCACAAGGATGTCACGGAACCACCAGGATATGTCATGGAACCACCAGGATATGTTACGGAACCACCAGGATGTCACGGACCCACCAGGATATGTCACGGAACCACCAGGATGTCACGGAACCACCAGGATATGTCATGGAACCACCAGGATATGTTACGGAACCACCAGGATGTCACGGACCCACCAGGATGTCATGGAACCACCAGGATGTTACGGAACCACCAGGATGTCATGGATCCACTAGGATATTTCATGGACCCACAAGGATGTCACGGACACACCAGGATGTCATGGAACCACCAGGATGTGTCACGGACCCACCAGGATGTCATGGACTCACCAGGATGTCGGTGACCAGCCAGTGTCTCCAGAAACGGTGCAGGGGTTTGGCTCTGTTGGGAGCGTCGGGGTCCACCATCACCAGGACGTATTTCTTGTTCTGCAAGAGAGGAGAGGTGGATGCTCAAAAAGCCCCAAATCCACATTTTTCCACTCTTTCCCAGCAGGAGCACTCTGGTATCACCCCAGAGGTGAGCAAGGAATGGGCACCAAGGGATGCCACAAACCCACTGAGGATGATCGTCTTCTTTTTTCTTTTATAATAATATAATAATAATAACAATAACAATTTAATAAAGATATTTTTCCTTCATTATTAAGCTTAAACCTACTTTATTCTCAATCACATTTCACAACATTCAATTAAAAGATTACATTTTCATAAAGACACTAACATTATACCAGTATCAAGCCATAACAGTGATTTAATCCCAAACCTTTCCAGAGGAAAAATGTAGGTTTTGCCTCCTCCAAAGAAAAGGCATCAAGGAGAATTCCCTCTGCTTCTCACCACATCCCACTGAGGCGCGGGATTGCAGCCGCTCTGGAATTTTTGGGGATTCAGACTTGGTTTGGAACAAGCTGTGGGGAGCCAAACTCTACCCCAAACATCCCAAAATAACCAAAAGGTGTTCCCGGGATGCTGCAGCAAGCAGCACCTGGGGGTCAGGTACCTCTCCTGGGTGATGGAATTGGGCAGAGAGAGCTGGGATTTATGGATCACACCTCCAGGAAACCCTCACAGCCCACCCCAGGTCCCCACTGAGAGTACCCAGCACCCAAAGGTGCCACCAGCACAGAGCCCGCGTGGATATTTTGGTCCGCTGAGGACGGAGCAGGGTTGGAAGTGACCTCTGGAGGGAAAACCTGCTGATCTCCAGGGATTTGGCAGGACCTCAGGCAGCAGATTATCCCGCAAGCCCGCGGATTACGGGATCTATATCCGAATAAAACCTCCAGGTGCGTCTGTCAGGGCGGCAGCGGTGCCACGCTCCGCTCCAGCCGCCCCAGGGGCTGCGCTGTGACAAACAGCCCTGGGATTTGGAATTCAGCCCTGCAATTCCCACTGGAATTCGCTGGAGCTCTGTCCCCTGCCGTGTGACACCGGGCAGGGATTGGCACAGCGAGGTTCCTGGGGCTGACTCAATATTTTTGCTCTGTTTGCCAACCTCTGGCTGGGGTAAAGAGGCAAAAACCCCCTGGGGTGTTACCAAAACCTGTGCCCCCCTCCCTTGGCGTCCCACATCCTCATAAACCTCTTGAAGACCCCACCTCCACAGGGAGCGCCATTTTTAACCCGAAAATGTTGATTTTAACCTCTTTATCTTGCAATAGTCGCAGAGAAAATCCCAAACTCTTTCAAAGCGCCCCGCCCGGGAGCGCCGCTGCCCGGTTCTGTAAATCCCAGCCTGGCATCACCCAGGGTGGGGGAATTACAAGGAGCCTGCAGATGTGAGCGTGGGAAAGGGGCTGTGCTGGTGTCACCATGTGAGGCTGAAGGTCAGGACCTCGAGGCTGAGCCACCACCACCATCCCCACCACGCTCCCAGCTGCAGCCGGCTGAAAAAAAAATCAAAAAACAAAAAAAAAACCAACCAAAAAAAAAAAAAAAAAAGGGAAGAAGCAGCAAAATTCCTTAACAGCGCCGAAATCAGCGTTTAATAGGAAGGAAGAGGAGGAGGAGGAGGGGAGGGGGAGAAGAAGCCCGACAACCCAAAAACCCTACGCTGGAAGTGTGAAGGAATTTGAGCTCTAACTTTGGGGAGGGTGCGGAGCCGAGCTCGGCGTTTCTGAATCTCTCGGCTCCGCTCGGAGCCCAGCTGGTGGGAACAGAACGTGTAGTCATGGGACTGTCATCGTGTGCTGTCCAGGTTAACATGTAGCATTTCTATTACTATTAACAGACTTTCTGCTCCTCACTCCATCTGTTCTTCGAAATAATTGCAGTTGTACAGACCATGCCTTCGCTCCAGGCAGGCTCTGGGGAGAGGATAGTGTTTTTATGCAAAAAAAAAAAAAAAAAAATTATTAAAAAAATAAAAAAAATGGGGAGGGAAAAAAAAAAAAGTGTTAAAAAATAACAGCAAACACGAGAATAGAGTGCAAGTGAAGCTAACAGCAGGCTTGGAATTGGGGACAGATTGTGGCCTAGAAAGGTGACAGCGCACGCGGCCGGGGGCCGGCAGGGCCAGACCCCGCTGGGGACAGGAGCTGGGGTCAGCGCCCTGAGCCGGGCTGGCCCTGGGGGATTTTTCTCTCTCCTCACCTGCCGGCCACCCTAAGAGCCACAATCCCTCACCTTCCACCTAAAGATAGCAAAGCCCTCCGCGAGCCGAGTTAATCCGGGCTGCTCATCCCGAGGCTGCAGCAGCCCCCCAAAGCCACCCCAAACCCCCTGTGCAACGTCCCTGGGGATGCCAGACACCCCAAACACGGGGGGATGTTTTTGAACTGCTTGCAAACAGCAGAGCAGCCCAAATGTGGTGATTTTGGGGGTTTTTGATGCTGAAATCCCTCCTTGACACAGGCTAACAGCATTAGCTGCTGTCAGGGCTGCAGACGGGAGCCAGCCCCGAGTGACTCGGGAGCTGCTCGGCTTTGCAAGCATGAGCCAGCCCCAGGGATTTGGGGAGAGCAGGAAAAGTGGCTTTAGATCAGAAAATTCCTCCAGTGCACAGGAACAGGAGGCATCTTGCTGTGCAAAGGGAAGGGAGGAAGGGAGAAAGGGAAGAAAAAGCAGCTTTGGGAGGCTGTGGATGAAAATCTGGGGGAGAAAAGTAGCCCCAAAGTTTTGTCACTCATTCCTGCTTGGCCCAGGACAAGGAGAAGCTGCTGGAGTGCAGGACCCAGAGTCTGGAATCCTGGAATGGTTTGGGTGGGAAGAGAACTTGAATTCCATCCAGTTACACCGCCTGGGCAGGGACACCTCCCCCTGTCCCAGGCTGCTCCAAGCTGCCCTTGGGCACTTCCAGGGATCCAGGGGCAGCCACAGCTCCTCTGGGAATTCCATCCCAGCCCATCTCTACCCTCCCATGCAGAAATTCCTTCCTGATCCCATCTCTCTGGCAGTGGGAGCCACTCCCTGTGTCCTGTCCCTCCATCCCTTGTCCCCAGCCCCTCTCCAGCTCTCCTGGATCATTTTTAGGCCTTGGAAGGGGCTCTGAGCTCTCCCTGGAGCCAGGCGGATGTGTGACACCAACTGGGTCACCCTTCCCTGCTCGCTCACCCGAGGACACTTTAAAATCAACATTTAACCACTGACAGGAGCTGCTGCCTTCCCGAGGACTCAAACCCAGCTGCACCACCCAGCTTTGCCCCCACATCCCTGGGAAGGGCCGTCCTTGCCCCGCTCCTCCACCCCACACGGAGCCGGAGCAGCAGAGCTGGTGGCAGGTGACAGAGCCCTGCATTCCGTGTTTTCCCTGCTAATTGTTTCTAGAGGGGAAGCAGCAGTGAAATATCCACTTATTCCTGCAGAAAGCATTAGCTGCTCCAATTAGGCACAGGTTTAGGAAACTCGCTCCGAGCAGGCAGCGACTTTTCCAAGAGGCAGGCAGGCAGGAGAGGGATTTTGTGCGCTGGAGATACACATGGAGCTCAACAGATCCCGCGGAGCCGGGGCTGCACAGGAATTAAAGACTTATCCAAATGAAAGCAAATAGGGTGTTAAGCGACACACATGTAGAGCGAGCGGTTTCCTTGGAAACCAGCGCACATGGAAGCAGCACACATGCAGTGCTCCGGCGTTTTCGGCAGCGCCGGGGCGGCCCCCAGAGCTCTGCCCTGCCAGGGATACCCGGCTTGGGTTGGGCATGGAGCTGGATGAGCCCCGGGGTGTCCGTGTTGGTGTGTCCAACCCGTTGGCATCCGTTTATCCGGGGCATGGAGGAAAAATGGATTAAAATGTGCTTTATTCTGTGAGGGGGAGATGGATGGTGCCCAGCTTTGCCATAGGAATTCCATCCCAAAACTGGGCCAAACCCCAGCCAGGCCCAGCCCGGTCCCAAAATGGGGAATGAATGGGTTTGGATGGATCCAGTCTGGATCCTCCCAGCTCACCCACCCCTCAGAGCTGCTCCTTGTCCGTGCACACCCGCAGCACAGGATGTTCCCTGCACCAGCCCCTCGGCACTCAAGGAATGAGGTGAAATTTCCAGCTGCCCCATTGCCACCACATCCTTGACAGCTCCTAAGGAATTTCCCTGGGTGCTGCTGAAGGAAATCGTAGAAATCACAGACAGGTTGTGATGGTATCCGAGCCAAAAAAACCTTTCACCTCCCCGGGAGCTGCAGCCTGGCATTGCCCCAGCCTGGATTATCCTGCTGTGAAGGATTTTGGTGGCATGAGATGATCCAGGCTGGTCCCACCGCTGTGGAGATGGGATGGGGGATGGAGCCAGGGAAGAGCTGTGTTGATGCAATCACAAACCAAAAAACCTCAATCTACCCCAAAACCACCTTCCAGAGCAGGGCAGGAGCTCCTGGCTGGGCAGGGAGCTGGGAAACATCATCAGCTCTCCTCAGGGATGCTTGGGGGGTCCAGCTCACGTCCCACCAGTGCAGGAGTTGGAGGTGGAAGCGCCGCCAGCACCAGCTGAGATTTGAGATCAATCTGGGCTTTTTTCTTGGCTTGTCCCCAGTACTAAAAAGTTTCTATAACAGGCACCGGCTTCACAATTCTGCTGCTGCTGCCTCGCCAGAGAGAAATTCCAGCTCCTTCCTCGGCGGCAAAGGAATTGTTTGCGACCGAGTTGTGTTGTGGCTTGGGGAAGGAGCTGCTGAGAGCCGCAGGATTTCACCTCCTCCTTTTCCACCTGCACCTCGCCACTTCCATGGGCAAAAAAAAAATAGGTCAGCAAAATTAACCCTGCTCCGCAGGACTTGCCCAAGGGGACAAGTGGCACCGCTGAAGGCTTGACCCAACTCTCCCAGGCCTGGCTCCCGCTGCAGAAGGGAACTTCATTGAATTTCCAGCTGCAACTCTCCCCATCACTCTGCTCTCCCTTGGGGCTCCTTCACCGGCCAAATATTTATGCAGCCTAATGTCCTAATGAGGATTGATTCATCCAGGATGGTTAAGGAGTGTGTGCGAAAGGTCTG